TCTGTGATTTCCATCTTCCAGAGGCATCGGCCAGGTATAGTATATACATAGTTACATTGTCACGCTCCTACAGACATGTCCTTTAGCTTTCTTGCCTGTTAGAAAGTGCCAGTGAACTATGAAATCACTCATCAGTGCCCTTGCAGTCCTTTGAGAAATACAATTCCCTCTGTCGTGGAGGCAGACAGGACTTGTAGTTTTTGCATTCACAGATCCCTGGGAATGAACAATGCATCTGTGTGAGCGGAGCCCTGCATGTACACACCTATTTTTAATGTGACAGCGGCTGTGGGGGAGAGAGGATCTCCTCAAAAAAGGGGGGATGTGAAAAGAGATTGGTCCTGATGAAGCTTAGTAAGATACGCCCATCGGCAAAACACATTGACGTCACACGTCAGTGACGTCACTACCGGTCAGATGCATTGGCGCCATACACCTAGTCCTGCAGGGGACACGGATACACACACCTGTGCTGGGCGTCCATCAGACTGCACATGTACCGGGATAGAAGCGGAGCCCGTTTGTCCATAGTCCCGATGCTGGCGGCTGCCTCCGGGGTGAATCCATCTATGAGAGAGATCATGCATTGCCATTTATTCATTGAACAGTTGGTGAGTGGAATACTGCAAATACAAGAAAGGAAGCACGGCCTCAGGCTGTTAGTATTTGATATACTTAGTGACAACCATATTGACTATCTTTATGTCACTTTTTTAATACAGGATGGGGACATCATGCTACATCTGTTGAAAGGTGCATAGCACCCTACTTTTATTACACGGCATGGATACTCCTATAATCTGCACAACAGATATATAATAAGGGACTTCTATCAGATCATTACCATTCATCCTGGTTACAAGTGTCATGTTTGAACTATCACAAATTTTTCTAGTGTGTTATTACACAATATAGCATCAGGCTTTGGCGCTTATATCAGCAAATTTATTTTGTATTGCATATGTCTCTCATTGATTCTTGCCCTGAGTTGGATGTTTACTATACATATTATCAGGTTCCTGAACCCATCTTTAACTAGTACCAATGTCTATAGTACTACATGTTTGATGTATAGCCTATTATGGTTACAATTTGTTGACTACATCCCCTATATGGTGGTGTTACCTATGTGTCTGTGCTGTATATGTACTAGACCTAGTGTCATTACATTTACAGCATTATCTATATTCATAACCGGTCATGACGCCTTGCTTTTAAACAATTTTTTGGTTTTAGGTCATACTTTTTGTATTGTCTCATCTTGTGGTGATGGCTAACTGAGGAATATATCTAAATGTCTATACATGCATTGTTATCTTGGTGAAACTTGTTATTGCACAGTAGTCTTTTTCTTAACCCAAATGGTTAAACAAGGCTTGCTCTCAACACCCAAATCCAACACCCTTTAGTATTATTATTATTATACAGTATTTATAAAGCGCCAACAGCTCACTCAGGAAGTGGAGCGACATCCAGTCTGATATGTCGTTTTAGTAGGTTTGTGATTCGGGTGGAGACTGAGGGGGTTAGGCGAGGGGTTGAGAGATAGATTTGTGTGTCGTCGGCATAGAGGTGGTAGTTGAAGCCGTGAGAGTGTATGAGTTGGCCAAGGGAGGAGGTGTAGATGGAGAAGAAGAAGGGGCCCGAGGACGGAGCCTTGAGGGACACCAACGGAGAGGGGGAGCGAGGGGGAGGTGGTAGCGTTATAGGTAACGCTGAAAGAGCGTTGTGATAGGTAGGATGAGAGCCAGGAGAGAGCGGAATCTCTGAGGTCGAGGGAGTGTAGTTTTTTGAGGAGGAGGGGGTGGTCGACTGTGTCGAAGGCTGCAGAGAGGTCGAGTAGGAGCACTGAAAAGTGGCCATTAGCTTTGGCGGTTGGAGACTTTGAGTAAGGCGGTTTTTGGTGGAGTGTAGGGGACGGAAGCCGGACTGTAGGGGATCGAGGAGGTTGTTGTCATTGAGGTGAGAGCTTAGGCGATTGTAGACTAAGCGCTCGAGGAGTTTGGATGTGAATGGAGCAGGGAGATGGGTCTGAGGTTGTTCGGGTCATTGGAGTCCAGGGAGGGCTTTTTAAGTATGGTGGTGTTGTGTGCATGCTTCAGAGGGGAGGGGAATGCGCCGGAAGAGAGGGAGAGGGAGAGATTAAAGATGTGGGCGAGGGAGCATAGGATGGAGGGGGAGGGAGGTCGTAGGAGTTGTGCGGGGATAGGGTCGAGGGGGCAGGTGGTGAGGCAGGCATCAGAGAAGACCTTGGAGACCTCCTCGATGGTAGTAAGTTTGAAGGTGTGGAGTGTTGAGGGGGCTTCAGTGTGAGGAATGTTAGGTGGGGTGGAGGTCAAAGCAGTGGTGGGGCCGAGGGAGAGGGGTGATGAGGGGGTGGCTGTGTGAGAGGGGATGTGTTTGGAGGGAGTTTGAGTAGCAATGATGTCCTTGTGGATTGTGTCGAGGGAGAGGGGTGATGAGGGGGTAGCTGTGTGAGAGGGGACGGGTTTGGAGGGAGTTAGTTAGTAATACACTTAATCCCCTTCATAAGTAATTTAGACCAGGCAACTTCTTTTTTTCTCAAGAACTGTATTTACTGTAAAAATTACTTGGCATATGCAGGTTGTTCATGACATGAATAACATAACATCCTCCAACATAACATAGTCTCTCTTCACTGTGTAGTACATTTGGCTGTGCTGCAACTGGCAGCACTCTGCCCTCCTCTTGCGGTGCTGCCCATGCCTTGATTTAAGCAAAGCCTCTCTCCCGTTTTCTCAGTCCATAAATGTGGAATCCGGATCAGGTCCCATTATAGGGTAGAATACCGGTAAGGTGTATCTCATTTTGACATTGGCCTTGTACCATGTGATTGCTATGATCTATCACATTTGTAAACAATAGTGTCATGAATGACAGCAATTGGTTATTCCACCCTCATTAATGCTGTTCCTGTCAGGCTGTCTATCTATGTTGGCCAAGACGGGAGGTGGTTAAAGTTACATTCTGACTACAGGGTCAAAACTGAAAGAAGCAATATACTGCGATTCCTCTTGCCAGCTCATACATCACTACAGGATTTGATTTTGATCAACTTGATTTGGAGCGTTTTGCTAGAAAGAGGGAGCAAAAGTGGCATGCTGATAGACCCCTTCCCCAAAAGACTGAATGCTGTCATACCAAACCAAATGTGCTTCAACAAAGTATTAGATTAAATGTGAGCATATTTATACAGCATGAGTTTTTTTTTTTTTATTTTTAAAGTGATTCTAAAGGTTGTAATTTAAAAAATTACAAACATGTCATACTTACCTGCTCTGTGCAATGGTTTTGCACAGAACAGCCCCAACCCTCTTCTTTTAGGGTCTGCCACTAGCAATCCTGGCTCTGCCCCTAAGCTGAGCAATAGTAAGCCTCTTGCTATGGGGGCACTCAAGCAGTCTTGGTCCCAAGATGTGCTTCTGTGAATGGACATTGTCTATTCACACACAGAGCATGGCTTAGTCCTCAGTGGCTCACTGGCTGTGATTGAAAGCAACAGGAGCCATTGGCTCCCACTGCTGTGTGAGCCAATGAGAAGAGAGAGACGTGGTAGGGCACATTGCTGGATCAAGATAAGGCTCAGTTAAGTATGGGGGGAGGGTTTGAGGCAGGAGCTGCAAGGGTTTTTTACCTTAATAATGCATTAAAGGATAATTTACACCTTTGGGAACATGTTATATTTTCCACCCATTTTTAGGGTGGAACATGTAACATGTTCCCATAGCTGCAACCGCACCTGCCGCCCCCTCCCTCTGACAGATAATAGGGGAGAGGTTTTCCCGTGCTGTCAGATTTGAAAACAGCAGAGCCCCACATGGCCGTGTCATTCATTCACGGAACTCTGAGAATTAATGAACTAAAAGTCCTGACAGCCTTAGCAACTGTGGGCTTGTAGCTTTCAATGAACTACCACGGTGCTGTGGAGCACCGTGGTAGTTCATTGAAGCTTCTTCCTGTACATCCTGTATGGCAAGCAGATATTCTAGCAGGTCTGACAGATCTACTTATTGCTGGTGCAATGCTTTTCAGGCTCCTTTGGACAAAAATAATAGTGCAAAAAAATGTGCATTTATTATTTTTATCCAAGAGGTGAACTTATCCTTTAATGCATTAAGGTAAAAAAACCTGCATTTTGAACCACTTCAACCCCTTTAAAGATTTTAGTCTGTTTTTAATTGAATCACAAGGTCACATTAAAGGTGGGGAAATTTCAGAAGTGATTTATTTTAGTCTGATTTATTTTATATCAAAAACCTGGCATTTTTACAGGGGTGTTTAGCCTTTTTATATCCACTGCAGAAATGTTTATAGATCTATACTACATAAGAATCTGCTGAAAGCAATTCAGACATTCATTAAATAAATAAGAGAAGTGTACCTTGCCAAGCTAGCAATTAATACATACCAAGCAAACCTTGACTTAAAAGATTAAAATTTTAGTCCTTCTCCAACCAAAAAAAAAAGATAATCACTCCCTACATGCCCTCAAACTGCTCAAATGTGTCCGTTTATGATACAGAGAATAGCTGCGATTCAGAGGATCGCAGCTATTCTCTGGTCATTCACAGTTTATGACACTCAGGAGATCAGCGAAGAACATGTCTCTCCCTCCAGATTCTCCAGCCCAGAGCTGGAGAATCGGAGGGACCGCAAACTAAGCAGCAATAATTTACCTCTGCTTAGTAAACTGATCTTTTACTGTAATATCGCGAGATTATAGTAAAATCAGCCGTTTTCCAGTGTTTGTAGACCATTCTCCCTTCCTTCGGAGAACTGATCTACACCGCTTCATAAACTGCATTCACAGGAGAACTGTGTTCTCCGAGAATGCCGGAGAACTGAGCAGCGATCTATTACCACTGGTTCATAAACAGACACCAAAATTGCCTCTTATTCTTCTAATTACTTATTTGAATCATGTGTCTATGAAGGCTCCTCCAGTGGAGGGACCAGGGGCGGATTGACAACTCATGGGGCCCCGGGCAACAGGGGATCATGGGGCCCCTGTGTCCTTGCCCAAACTCAAAAAAGCCTATGAAAAAGGTACCAGGGGCATCTCATGGGGCCCCCTACCAACCCCGGGCCCTCGGGCAGTGCCCGAGTTTCCAAATGGTCAGTCCGCCCCTGGGAGGGACCATTGGTTTCTTGCTCCCCTTCACTGGTCTCTGCCGTTTCTGTGATTGGTCTTGTTACCATCTCCTCATGGCATTATGATTACAATTCCTTTGTTACTAAATGCCCCTCTGTAGTCACAAGTGAAGGACAACCACTAAACTGTGCCCACATCGACAAACCTAAAGTGTTATTAGTGTCCCCCCTGCTACTGTACAGCGCTGAGCATACTCTTTATAATAATAATAATAATTATTAAACCCACATAATTTAAAACTATCAGTACATGCTGAATTATATGCTGAGCATACTCACTCAGTCACTATGGGATACATTTTCTGTATTCTGGAAAAAACCTGGTTGATACTTCTGTTCTCTGGTGCCCCCTCCAGTTCCATGACCCCACTGCAGTTGGGGATTCTGCAGACCAGTGTAGGCAGCTAGTGCACAAGCAGTTTTCAGGGTATTTTCTACACTGAGCATTTCTTCCCTATCACATCTGAGCAGCCCATATGAATCGAGAGCCACACATGAGAGTCATGTGGATGTATACACAGTGGTAAATGTGAACATGTGACTGGCAGCAGGAGAATAGAAGCTCCTCTCGCACCACCCGCCCAGAGAAATGCAGACCCGTGGGTGGGTGCCAATAGTTCTAATGGCATGCCACACGCACTGAAAAACGCAACCGAGGTTCCCATGTGGGCTGCGTTTTCAGAAGAAGTGCAGGGACTTCTTCTCTGCGTGTCACGGGGCATGGGAGTCCATTCAAATGAATGAGCTCTCGTGCCCATGCAAAACGTGGCCTGCACAGCCGCGTATATGTGAACCAGGGCTTAGTCAACACCTATGATGGACAAATCCTAACTGATCATAACTCTAAAAAGGGTTCTATGACTGTCTTGAATTCAGGCATAAATTATTGTTGTTGCTGATGATCTTTTTTGTAGTTGCTATTGTTAAATCAATACAATTAGGAGAGAGCAGAGCCCAGTACAGAAACTGAAGGTGATCTGTAACTACTAGTGGTAGTATAAGAGCTGCTGATAAAGGGGTACCACCGGGCCTCCTGTAGGGGGCCCTGGCCAGCTGGCAGCTTTAGGTTTCAATGATATGTTCCATACAGGGAGGTGGACTGACCATTCAGGACTACCTGAGAGCCCAGGGCCAGTAGAGGGTCCCTTGAGAGGCTCCGTCACTGCACTGCTTGTTGCAGAGCACCAATCATACTCCATCAAACTTGTCTGAAAAGCATTCTCTGTTTGCAGTACTCTCCTCAGCAGTTCAATTTCCTATTTTCTAGATCAGTGACATGTAATCAGCCCCCTCATTCTCCCCGCAGGCACACATCCTCTTACATTAGGACAGAATGGTGACACCGGAGAGAATGGTGTCCGGCCACAGAACAGGGAACACCACCTCTGGGAGAACCATGCATGAGTCTTTTCAGCGGCCACTCAACAGCCGCCAGGATCACTGCCCCAGCTCTGCAGCCATGATCTCCCATTCATTCTGCTGTGTCCCCAGCTGGGAAGACCTGGAGATCATCCTGTGTGTGGATGGAGGGTGACCTTCACACAGTCCTGTAAAAGGGGCTATGAAGGCAGCAGATTTTAATATACAGCACACAGCAGCAGCTCTAGATCCTGGCTGCCTGAGTCTACAATATAGCAGCCTAGGGCCATTATTGTGAGTAGCAGACATACTGACTCCCCCCCTCTCACCCCCTCACTCCCCCTCTCTCTTCTGCCTTGCCCTCACTCACCCACCTCTCACCCCCCCCACCTTCTCTCTCACCCCCCTCTCTCTCTTCAGCTCCTCCCCCCTTTTGCCCCCCGACTCCCTTCTCTCTCTCACCTCTCCCCTCTCTCACCCCTGTCTCATCCCTTCCCTCTCTCACCACTCTCTTTTTCATCCCCCCTCTCTCTCTCTCATCTCCCCCCTCCTCTCTCTAACCCCCCCTCTCACCAACCCCCTCCCTCTCATCCCCCACCTCCTCCCCTCTCTTGCCCCCCTCTCTCTCCCCCCCTCCCCTCTCACCTCTTCTCTTTCTCACCTCTCCTCTCTCTCACCACCCCCTCTTTCTCTTTTGCCCCCTCTCTCTTTTATCACCTCCCCCAACACCACTCCCTATCACCCCTTCTCTCTCTCACCCTCCTCAGCAACACCTATTTTCCCCACCACCCCATCTCTCTCACTTCACTCCCCCATCCCCTCTCTCACCCCCTTTCTTTTTACCCCCTCTCTCTCACACCCCCCCCCTCCCACTCAACTCCTCTTTTTCTCACCCCCTCTCTCACCCCCTCTCTCTTCCCATCCCCCTCAGTCCCCTCTCACCCCCCACCTCTCTCTCTTACCCCTTCTCTCTCACCCCCCTTTTTCACTTCCTTCTCCCTCCCCCCAGCTCAGGGGGTGGGGTTGTGAGCCTTGCCTGGTAGGCTGTACAGATTCTCATTATTTCTAACAGCAGCCCTGGGTAGTGCTAACAAACCATCTGTACATCAGATTTAGAAACTGGTTAAATACAATGGTTGTAGTTGCTGTTAAAAAGCCATTTAATAACACAGTATATATGCAATACGTCATTGTAAAAGAAAAGAGTTGTCAAGCCTAATATAAATGTTTGAGGGCTTTGCACGCATCCCGTGACTACTAATTAGATGTGATATGATTTTTTGTACCCAAGTGTAAACATATATTTTCAACAGCTTCCTTGGCAACATATAACTCCAAAACTGTATCTAAAACACAACTGTTGCATCTTAGAAAATGCATATGTGATGTGTATGAGCTGTGCTTCTCCTGTCTGATCAAGAGGAGTGCCAAGCAAGCACCAAGGGTAGTGTGATTGGAATAATGATCTTTTAGTTGCTATGGAAACTAGAGTGATTGCAGGAGCAAAAGTACAGGGGGCCCTGAAGACGTGTCTTCCCAGTGTGTTGCTTTATTTATCTACTTGATCAAGCACAATATGTCGATGAAATATGGATCATGAAAAAATTACAAGAAAAAACATTTAATTATTTTTTCTGCTATAGCTCTCTAAATAAATATAATGTGCATAATGTTCTGTAAGCAAATATGAAATAGGATTTTACAACATACAGAAACACGCTCTTAAAATGTGACAGCTATTTCTAGGAAAATCACTTGTTTGGTCTCTATAAAGAAGCTTCATTGTGCACTTTCTGTGGGTGTGCAGTTCCCTATAATAAATACAACCAGCACAGCAGATATCAAAAAAGAGAAGTGTAAAGGGGAAGATCTTTAGAATAGTCATAAAAGCAGAAATGTTAGGAAAAAGAGGAAAGTATCTCAGTTTTGCTCAGTGCTTTATTTTCCATCTACTGACTGATTTTATGCATTAAAATGTAAAAGGAATTTAAAGTATTTAAATTTATATATATATATATATATATATATATATATATATATATATATATATATATAAGATAAGCATAAGGTAAACAAATTTAGTTAATATGCTTTTATAACCTTTTGTTTGCGTATATTGTGTTTATAATATGTATACGGAGGCAGACATTACTTATTACATTTGCAGGCTCTGCTTCCTACTTTAAAGTGCTACATAATAGTTACCGACTCATTGAATACAACAGATTGCTCTTGTAGCTTATCTTGTCTCAACAGTTGTGTAAATTAAAGCCATTTTTAGCCTAAATGACCGAAAACTGTCTCTGACAGCTAATCTACAAGTCTGTGTATGTAAATCAGTAAAACAAATACGGTAAAGCATACTTACTAAACAATATGTTATAATATGCTTTATCTGAAAATTCACTCTACATTTACAATTGCAGGTTTGAATATAGCCTTAAAGTAGAACCTTATTAGTAGTAAATCAACTCAAAAGTGTCAGGTATCAAAATGTCTTCACATGTAATATGACATTTTTAAAATATAAACATAATCATAGCATTTTAACTTTAGTTTTATGTAGCGTGATAAAAATGTGGTTGATCCTGCCTTTCACTGGTGCTGTAGATCCTATGGTGTGGTCATTGCCACTCCTACTGAGCATGCTCCTTTTTCTGTGAACAGGTAAGTTGTTAATTTCCTAGTTTGTACCGATCCAGGCTGCCCAAGTGAATATATAGTCATCTTTGGGGGGGTTTACTCAGTGATGAATCACAAGCCCCTCCCTCTTCCTCCTCTATGCCAACATTTCCTAATCCCTGACTGGGTGGATCTAACAGGGAATGATTGATGGAGGCATCACCTCCCTGTTAGGAAAAAATGCCTTATATTTTACTGTTGAGGTGAAATAAATCCACCCACTCTAGGTTTTACGAAAACAAGCTTCCTGTCTTTCATCTATGCCAGAAGCTGCTTCATATGCATTATCTCATTTACTGCTCCAATCCAGTGTCCCACCATTGGTGGAGAGGAGGACTTCCAATATACCGATATACAAGCCCTTGCTGTGTTAAGGAGGTGTCTTACCACTGATTGGCAATATCTACCCCTCGAAGGAGGGCTAAGTTGTAACAGACATGCTGCTGGGTTCCAATCATGCACACCTCATGTCAATATGGGTGAATTCTGGGACATGTCCAGAAAATAGGAAAAGTGTTCCCCTTTCTTCTCTGCAACTCCAACAGAGGGGGTCAGCATTAGAAAACATATGGTGCAGCATCTCTGGAGATATATACCACTTAGTCAAATGCTTGTACCCTGCTTCCTGCATTCTTGAAGAGATAGAAGATTTATGTATGAAATAATAGATACAATCTCTTTGATCAGCTGAAAATCTTGTATTCAAATATTTTTCCCATGCAGACATAAACAAGCAAAAATGTGAATCAGAGGGTACTATCAATACAGCATATGCCTTAGATTAGGGCTCAAAATTTCAAGTCCTGAGCTGCTAGCCAGGACTTGAGAGTTTCTCTCCACCAGTTGTCCCATCCTACCCCTAACCTGCCCTGCCCCTAATTCTGCCCCCTAAACACACCCTCATAAACTATCTTATGAAATGGTGCTGTTAATTGTTTTATGCAGAAGGAAGGGAAGGAAGGAAGAAAGGAAATTG